TGGACAGGTAAAGTTTGTAATGGTGCAGTAGGGTGGAGGCTTGGTGGTGAGCTGTGAAGCATAAGCGAGGAATCGCATACGTCGAATCGAGTCGTGGTGGTTCAGTGGTAAGGTTCGACGTTCGACGACTCGATTCGACGTATGCGATTCCTCGCTTATGCTTCACAGCTCACCACCAAGCCTCCACCCTACTGCACCATTACAAACTTTACCTGCTCATAAGTGCTTGTGAAATGCAGGTTGCAGTTTTGCTATCTACAGGAGGGCCAAAAAAGTCACTTTTCTTCATTGACTTTCGAGGCGCTATAAGTTACACTTTATTGAATTCTGATCGGACATTTCTACCACCATATTAAAGAGCATATTAAATACTATCATGACACTCCGCCACAGCCTTCTGGACGAGCGCCATCGAGAGATTCTGGCACGCGACCGCGATGTGGTGCCTGAGAGATAGTCGATTTCTCCGCCACCGTAGACCACCCTATTGAACTCCGCCCGAACCGGGTAATTGAGGGATTCAGGTCAGGTGACCTACTTGGATATTCCATCTTCTTTAGGTACCCTTCCATTCCAAGTAGGCGAGAGTTTCTCCAACGCCCTTCGATTCCATGTGGTGGCACTCAATGCTGTAGCAGTACAAAGTTTCCAGTCCGGAGTCCGCGAAGAAATATCGGTCTTCCATTCCAGGAACTTCCGGTCCATACCATCAACCCGCGCCTTGGCGACTGCGGTGAAGATGATGTCCTAGACCGTGGCGACGTTGTCGGAGCTGCTCGATGTTGGAGGTCTTCCAGATCGAGAGTACTGGTCTCCAGGTAGCTATCCATGGGTGACTCCATACTAGAAGTTTCGCAGCTGTTTGGAGGTGACATGAATTCCAAAGGTCTTCTCCAGTCAGGCTGCGACTGGAGATGACTTCATATTTTGGTGTACATGAAGGTGATGGGCGAGAGCCAGCTCCTGCTTATCGAGGAACATCTTGGGTATCTTCCGCCCTGGTACTCGTATCCACGTCCTCTGTCTGGGCTGCGAAAACTTTGCTGATATGTGACTCGGTCGAAGTGACTTTTTTGCCCCCCCCCCTGTATATTTGTTAATAACCTTATAGACTCTATCGATCTACCCAGGTCTCCATTCAGTGTTCCATGGTAAGTGGCGGACTTCCCTGGTTAGTGTGTAACATTCCGTTCAAGCACATCGCTAAAACGTGGATTTCCCAACATTCGCATTTGATTTTACCTTGAAAAGATCCGTAATTGGTTCATCAGGCTCAGATGTGGATGGAAATAGAGAAATTGATCAATACGTTCAGATTAATATGTGGCGGAGCGAATGTTAGATTTGTTGACATGGAAAACATCGAATTTCACGGCACTCTTCAGCAATACGACCTGTTTATGAACTATTTGGAAGAAGTTGACGAGAAGGTAAGTGTAAAGCAAGTAATGGTCAGACTGTGCCAATAGGGAGACGGGAAAGAGAATCGTAATTTGCCACGCCGCGCGCAGCGACAACCGCGGCGTTTTCTCAACTCGTGTTAACCTGTCGATTGGAGCACCGGACTTCATGTAGACCCCGTCATCGTAGACATTCATGACTATTTTGAATTGCCTGTTGTCGCCATCTACTACCTGGAACCATCGTCATTTGCGGGCGCGACGTCGCACGCGACGCTCACCAGCGCGGCGAATTACGATTCTCTTGTCACATACCCGTGACAATAGGCCAATGACCTGGGGTTCTACAAGATTCCAACTCGACCCCTGTTGTGGAGCATGTGATCCCTTGGGACCCCTGGATAGTAGCTCGCATGACTCATAAATTTGAAAACTCAAATACAAAAGAGTATTGCAGTAAAGGCAAGATATTCGCGGTGCCAAATGGATGGAATAACCGATCGTAGGAACATGATGTACCACTTCACCGCATGACTTCAACACACCAGCGGCTGAATCCGCGGTCGCAGCACACGGACAAGGTGTGAGCATGTAAGAGTTTTGCGAGATGGTGACCGCTGAGGGAAGCAAGCGATCTTCTAAGATATCACCCATACCGTCCGGAAGTCTGTTCTTTGAAGCGAAGAGATAATGTCCAGGGCTAGATGTGGCATAAGTAGCCCACTATGTAGGTTTTTAATAGCTTGCTGGGGCTGGTTCTCAAATTAGCAGTGTTGAATACTGAGACATAATAAAGAGTTCAAACCATCTTGTCCAAGTGGAGATGGAAATGTCGCTGTGAAAAGGAACACGCGATTCAATTCCACCGGAGTTAACGCCGTGACAGAGATTCGGTGTAGCTCCGATAACTGACAGCTCGCTTTCAAAGTAATAACCTTCTCTTCTACACGAATGATGGCTTCGTTTAGAAGACGAGGTATACAGGAGGAAGGGGCAAAAAAGACACTCTCCTTTCTCGACTTTCAAGGCGATATAAGTTACACTTTATTAAATTCTGATTGGGCATTTTCACCATCAAATTCAACAACGCATTGCACACGATCACGAAACTCCGCCACAGCCTTCTGGACGAACGCCATCGAGAGATTCTGCCACGCGAAAGTGATTCGGTGCCTGAGTTCAGTAAGATCGTTGATTTCTCCGCCACTGTAGACCACCTGTTGAGCTCCTTCCTGACCCGCCAATCAAGAGGGGTTTAGGTCAGGTGACACACTTGGATATTCCGTCTTCTTCAGGTTCTCAACGCCCTTCGATTCCAAGTAGGCGAGAGTTTTTCGATTCCATGTGCTGGCACCCAATCCTGTAGCAGTACGAAGTTTCCAAGACGGTACAGGCGACGACATGAAGGCAGGATATTCTCCTCGAGCTGTTCGATGTAACGTCAGCGTTCACTTTCAGTCCGGGTCCGAAGAAAATATCGGTCTTCCATTCCAGGAACTTCCGGTCCATACCACCAACCCGCGCCTTGCGACTGCGGTGAAGATGATGTCCTGGACCGTAGCGACGTTGTCGGAGCTGCTCGATGTTGGAGGTCTTCCAGATCAAGAGTGCCGGTCTCCAGGTAGCTGTCCATGGGTGACTCCATACAAGAAGTTTCGCAGCTGTTTGGAGATGACGTGAATCCTCCAGTCCGGCTGCGATTGGAGACGGTTTATATTTTGGTGTACATGAAGGTGATGGACGAGAGCCTGCTCCTGCTTATCGAGGAACATCTTGGGTATCTTCCGCCCTGGTACTCGTATCCACGTCTTCTCTCTGGGCTGCGTAAACTTTACTGATATGTGACTCCGCCAAAGTGTCTTTTTTCCCTGTATTGAATCATGTGACCAGGTATACACTATTATTTGAAGTCGGTTGGTAATGATCGAGTATTCTATCGGTAACGTTCTGTCAGCAACAGGAAGGATAGAGTTCACCTTTAGTTGGGATAAGTGTCGAAAAGCAAAGATGGCAGTGAGTTATTTGGGACGTGGTCGTAGATGAATTGCTCAAAGGCAGTTATAACGATAATCTGCCACTCCGTATAGAATGGCAGCAAAAAAATGGGGTGCTAAGTTGTGGGAATATGAGAAAGAGCGAGGTGAAACGGTCGAGACTGCGAAAGTCTTTTTTTCTACTCGATTCAGAAAGGTATTTCGGACGAGTTCTCCCATTGGCAGCGTGCCAATGACCGCTACGGTAGATACGAGTGTATGTATACTCATATATTCATGCAGCTCGGCATCCGCTTCACATCAATCCCTTCGATTCATATTGTACTTCGCAAATGGAGCTATACATGCACCAGGATCGGTCGGACATTTGTGAGTACCCCGATCGGTATGTTGCAGCTTGATAGAGCTCTATAAGGGTTCCTTCCTTGAAAAAGGGGCCGCGCAGCGCTTGCTCAGAGGCGCTGACTTCAGTCCTGCCAGGCAGCTTAGTCCTACACGTTTTGGAGGTTTATCGTGCCAGCTGCTTTTGATTGTTGCTGCAGTTTCATAGATGTAAGGCTGGTACCAATAGATGCTGTTCTTGCTGTTTATTTTTGTCGGCTGCACTCTGGTACCGTAATTTTTGGGAATCACGTCCTCAACGGTCACTGTTGGTCCTTTATTGCCATACATAAATTGATGAACTCGCCTTAATCTTTCTTTGAAAGATTCAAGCGCGACTACTGATATATTGCTGAAGTGTTGAGTTAGGCTTGTGCCATAAATGAATGAAATGCCGGGTGATTCCTTCCCCTCCCCTCCCCTCCCCCACCTCTCTATGAGGACCCAATCGTTTCGAGAGAAAAGGTCAGCTCAAATAGAACATTGCAGTTGGTCTCAACAAGCTCGAAGATTAATATATCATCGAAGCCAGATTGTCCCATATGCTTGTCACCGGTCAGCAATGCGTTTTATTGCCTGGACTGTGGTCACTACTACTGCCTGAAATGTATCACCTTCCAGGTAAGAGCACACTAATCCGTTTCAGAAAAAATGCTGTTAAGACCGTTCAATTAGGCAGCGTTCAGACTTCGCGACGGCAGCGCTTCAATCGCGCGTTCGACGCGATCAATGCAGTCGAAAGCATGCGCATCGATCGCGTCGAACGCGCGACCGAAGCGCTGCCGTCGCGAAGTCTGAACGCTGCCTTACTTCTGCCAAACGAGGTTGTTAGATGGAATTTTTTATTGGACCCTACGTTTCGACCTTCTCGTCTTCTTCAGAGGCCTGAAAATGGCTCGAAGCTTTTAATTTGTTACCTACCCGACCAAACGCCCTCCCCACTCTAGCGTTTCCGACCTCGTTTCCCGAACGCTTCCTAAAACTCGGCAATGAGTGCTAACAACTCACCGAAGGTCTCACCGTGCGGAGCTTAGCTCACGCTGTGTGTCAGTTGAACCAGTAAGGACGAATGAGACTCACTTGTGTCTCACTGTGTCGCATAAGTCAAAATTGTCATAGCGCACGTAGTCCTTACTGTAGCTCGCACTCTGATACAAACGGCAGGAATTCATTTTGTAATAGCCAGACACTCATTTCGGTTGTTCATTCTTGGTTTTCTCGCGAAAATCCAGAATGACTCCAACTTTCCTAGCTGAAGTTTCCGTCTCGTACGCCAGTATAACACATTTAACATCAAAGTCGTTCCCGTTATGCTGCTCAATCTTATGCTTGCCAAAAGATGAAATGATACACATTGTGAGCTAAGCTCCGCACGGTGAGACCTTCGGTGAGTTGTTAGCACTCATTGCCGGGTTGTTGGGAAGCGTTCGGGAAACGAGGTCGGAAACGCTAGAGTGGGGAGGGCGTTGGTAACAAATTAAAAGCTTCGAGCCAGTTACAGGCCTCTGAAGAAGAAGAGGTCTTCTAGGCCAGTAAAGGCCGTTAAAGGTTTCATCTCACAACCTCTTTTGGCAGAAGTAACTGAACATTCGACATTATGCCGAGTTTACAAAGAGACCATTTTAGGTCAAAACAGTGATAAGAAATCGTGATTTACCACTGCAGTGTTGTCATGTGGATTGTGGACAGCTGTTTTCCATGAACGATTTGAAGGTTCTCATATTTTTTTGCTGGCTTTTTTCTTGGACTTTTTCATGCACCTAAGACGTTTTGGTTCCGAGAATTTTTTCCGCTTGTACTTCTGCTTTCGCTCTTATTCGTTTGTTTCCAATAGACCTTCCAGTTCGTTACAACTTCTGAAAGACACTGAGCGTTTTTGTTGACAGGAGTAAAGCCTATGAACTTGAGAAACTTCTAGATTTGTTTCAGTGCTTACTTCCTCGGTGATAATCGATTACCATGGTTGAATGCGAAGAAGATGAACGCCTTGGTAGGCAGCTCCATTGACTGCGTATTGCGAAAAGACAAATCCTTGTCGCGTTGCCCAACACCAGACTGCTTTGGTATTTTCAAGGTTAGTTGTTAGCTTTTGGTATTTTCAAGGTTTTTTTTTGCGAAAGCGACTGGGGAAGAGGTTCAGTTCTCCTTCCCTTTGCCCAATTCCACTGTCCCACTGAAACAGAAGTTGAACGATTGCAACTAGTGCGCTCTAGAATTGGGTCAAGGATTGTCACGCTCTGTTGTCTTTATCCTGTAATTTGTAAGCGTAGTTCTCGAAGACTTCGAAAATGAACGGTCTTCAGAGATCTGGACGTTGTACCCCAAGCCAAGAATGTTTGACAACAGTGTGGAACTCTAAATTTTTACCCCTTCTCCCTCCCTCCTCCCCCCGCCCCCCAAAAAAAGCTTACGCTCAGAAGTTTTCAGAATCTTTTTTTGTGTTTTATGTGTTTTTTTTAGAAACAGATTACTGGTTTTCGAAGAAAATAGCTGAAGTAATGAGTGCTTGAAGTAGTTTTTGATGCGCAGAGGCCAGAAATGACTGAGACCTCTGCTCTTCGTGCCACAATACCTTGTACATGCATTCCGCTACCGGTCAAATAACGGGTGGACTGTCCTTGTAAGACACAAGACAACAGGACCCAACTGCTTAGGTCGTGTTCTTGGTAAACACCGAGCTGGAGGAACGAGGTATCGAGAACTTGAGCACTCGAGAAAAGGACGAGAAGGGAATCGCTTTCGGTAACATTACTCCTGGGCGGGTCCACGGGGTTCACTTCTGATCCCTATCGCTGATTCTTCGATTCGCCGATTCTCCATATTGCCCATTTATCTAATCGGCGATTCTCAGAAATTACCTATTTGGGAGGGGCCGAGCCATGAATTTCTGTATGGAGTTTTCATAGATTTCCAATTCTCTGATTCTCCTTCACTCCAGGCGATCAGTGTTCTTTCCTTCCCGCGGGATTTCCGATTCTCCCGCGGCACTGTCTACGAAAAGACCTTCAACGTGATAGTGCTGTGGCCTGGACTGATTTCGGCGCAGTGCCGCACCTCGGCTAATGCCGTTTGGACTCCAGAAATTTCGGCACCGAGCTCATTTTCAAATTGCCTAAGTCACCAAATCCACTAAAAACTTGTATATAGGGGTAATTCAACATCCTGATTACGAGTATGACACTCATTCTTGGCGCTGGCGCCAAGAGAGGACACTACGATCGACTCGCCGTATTGAGTCTCCTGGGATTCAAGCCTTAAGCAGAGCGCGGAGGTGAACCGTAGTGTCATCGCATGTAGCGGCACTTAAAACTATGCGACCTGCTGGACACAGCGATTGCCTCCTGGGCTCAGCCTTAGCAGAGCGCAGGTAACCGTAGTGTCATCCATTAGCGCCAGCGCCAAAAATGAATGTCATATTCGTGATCAGGATGTTGAATTACCCCTATATACAAGTTTTTAGCGGATTTGGTGATCTTGCCACTTTTAAAATGAGCTCGAAGACGAAATTTCTGGAGTCCAAACGGCATTAGCCCCGCGCCTCGAGACCCAAGTGAAACGTAAAACTACGGACTGCTGAGGCAGCAGCGTACGACAGTACGAGTCGCACGACTCGCGATCTAGAGAGGTGGCAAGGAATTGAATTGGTACCTGAAGTTGTTCGTAGAAAGCTGTTCTGAAATAATTGGCATTTATATATTTTCCTTTGAGAGCAGAGTGGAGGGAGGGAGTGTGCTATAGAAAGCGAGCACCCGAAAAGGTAATGGCGGTTTTTGGCTACTGTCGAGTGCACGGCGTGACCAAATAGAGCTTTTTTTCTTCAGCTGAATCGAATCATTCTTTTCCCTTTTTCTCAAGGAACGCATGGAAACCGATTGGTGTAGGAGCGTCCCTCTTTAGCTTTCGCTGTACAAAATGAATTGTCTAATTTCTACCTTTCTGGGGCAGAGGTGGTGTAGTGGCAAGTGGTACGGTTACCACGT